TATTTTTCCAACCGACAGCAACTCCGCCATGGCAAGCTATCAATTGATTCTTGACGATCCTCTCAAGTGTCTCTTTTTCAATCGACAGCAACTCCGCCAGACAGCGGAGTAAGGGGATTTCGTCTTCCTGATTGTCCTTTATTTGGGCTAGTTCCTGTTGGAGCCTATTGATTTCAGCTCCTCTGTCAAGGAGCATCTCCGATCTAGGCGGTGATGGCTTAGACATGGTGAGGAAGATGAAGATGAAGATGAAGGTGGTGAGAATGGAAGGGGATGACTACTATTTATAGCCTCTTTTCAAATCTTAATTCCTAAGAAAATCGCATCTTTTAAGATTAGATTGGACCGGACAAAGAAGCTAAGTCTTAGCCTAAAACTTGGTCAAATTCATAGCGGATCTCGCGAGATCTTTAATCAAGAGATCTTAGCTACAAATCACGGCACAAATCCAGAGGCGAATCTCAACAAACTTCGCCAGCCAACGAACGTTGCTAGATGACGAACTTCGCCAACACAGCTCAAAACAAATTGAGCCTTACTAGCTGGCGAATGTTGTTAATTGACGAACTTCACCAAGAAGCCCAAAATTGAGCGACCTTAGCTCATACTTGTAATCAGTCGAACTTTGCTGATTTCTCAACATCGCCTCAATAATAGAAAAGGTGAATTTTTTTCCAAGCATAGATTTGAACGGGTACAAGCATCATCAATCCTTCAATATAAGTCTGCAATAGAGGAAGCTACATTCGACATTACACCTCTGGCGACCAAGTCGGTGGATGAAGAAAAGTTTTCACCTAATCAAGATAACTCAAGCCACGTTCAACATTACACCTCTGACTATTTACCCAAAGTATTTCAATCCTAGCTACAAATTGAAATGCAAGATCTTGAAAACTTTGGGAGGTTTTGTAAACGGTCAAAATGTATTTTCACTTAGGACGATGATCATCTTAAATCTAAAAAGTAAACGCACATGGGCTAAACACTTCGAATAGGCCCAAAGTCAAGCCCATAATAAGTTGCTGCGAAGGTTTCTTGATGACTAAAGTGAACCTCGCCAAACAGCCCACATTGATACGACCCTACCAAGTCAAAACACGAGTCGATTCCCAAGACACGCGTCAGGCCGAGTTAAAAGGCGTCATTGGTTGGCCAATCCTAGAGTCGAATTCAGTATCAAATTCGAACTCATAGGCGAAGCTCACCAACCAATGAACTTCGCTCACGTCTAGTGGACCAAGTCATCCACTACCAAAGAAGGCGCACTCATGTCTGCAGCTACTTTCGCCCACGACTTCAGCGACCCTCGTCAAGTCTGTAAAGTTTGCCCAAATAGTCATTTCATAGCTATTTTCAGGGGATAACCGCTCCCCACTAACTCCTATTTTAATGATCATTTAATCCACAATTAAATAGGCTATTAACTCTCTTTTAGCCTATAAAAGGAGAGGAGATCATCAATTTTAAAGGGTTCGAAAAGTTCGGCAGAAGAATCAACACATGCATCACACTTGCGACTCCATTAAGAAATATTGCTAAGAGAAGATTGAGTTATCTTCCAAGCAATGCAACTCTCATCAACAGCAAAATGCCCATTGTCTTAATCGGCGCGTCAACGTAGTAAAAGATCGACGCTCCACCGGCATATAGAAAAGAACCTAGGAAATATAAATTTTTCCTTTGTTTCATTGTATTTCTTTTATTGTAATATGCGTCAATTGCAATACAAAAGAACCCGAAACACCTAGAACTTGTAATCGCTGTCATTGAACGTAAACCATGAATTCAACTACATATAGCCTATAGGTAAGGCACTGCATTAGGACGCATTGACCATTCTGCTGTAATTTGGGCTGCCTCTATCTTCTTAATATTTCACCAGTCCCAAGAATAGATAGGATTCCTCTAATTACACTTTTGGCTTAAAAATGACATTATTTATGGTTATGAGACAGTACATACATAATTACCTCATTCCTTGTTCATGCACTCACGATACTAAAATGATTCTGCAGTTTCCAAATCTGGTATGGTAATGCCCTGATTTGTAGTCAAAACATCACAGTATTCTATTGCATCTTAAAGCTAACTTGGGATTCATAGATCCATCTTTAAGTTTAAGCTTTGAATTCATAATCAGAACAAAATTTCCCTCATCTTATTTAGGCACTTGATGGGCACAAGTTAGTTTATCCTTCTGTTGTGAGCCCCATAATTCTCATGGATGGAGGAATGCAGGATCCATGTTTGGAGGCATCTGCACGTGCCATGTGCAATCCCCATGCAGAATTGGACCATGCTTCTTTATTAGGCTTATTGGTTACTTTACTCACAAGAGAGATTTAGTTAATTAACATAGTGATGCTGCACTGTATAAACACTGGCACACTGGGGCGCATTATAAGTCAATATCCATTTGTAGGTGTAATTTATCAGCCTAGATTCTTAAATCAGGATCTTGATGTTTGGTCAATAGGTGAATAGAATATTCAGGCATAGACTTATGGTTTAAAATTGGAATGAAAAGTCTGAAGCGTCTCTTATAGGATACACATGTATAGTTGGCTTGTGTGATATTGAAGCACCTTGATATTAGCCTACCCATACTGATGCTGTATGATCAAGTTGTAGGAGATTGAAACTCAAGCTATAGTGGCTTGAACTGTATATATTTCATGTTGAGGATCTCCCACTCAATGTAAAAAACAGAGAAGTGACTTCGGTGAGTTATATATATGAATCTAATGCAACTTGTGCTATTTTGCTTAATTCCTCAAGGGTTTAGAGCAATTTGTAGCACCATCGTTCAAACATAAAGTCAATATTGGAAACCATAACCTACGCAGTTTGAACATCTTCCGGTCAAAATTATATATGATATAAGTGAGATGGTCTCAATTGTATACAAAGAAATTCCAACTTGCTTAATTCTTTACAAGTTTAGTGGCAATTCATAGTTTCATCGTCCGAACACAAAGTCAATCCCTGGATTCATATTTCATCGTCCAAACACAAAGTCAATCACTGAATTCCCACGGTTTGAACATCCGTGTATCAGGATTATATGCTGAAGCGTCTCTTGTTATGCATCAGCTATCAAGTGGGCTCAAATGTAATATATAGTCATGCTAAATTCTTGGTCACCTGGTGAAGACTACACTGTTGCATGCCTTTGATATGCATATGTGGATCCTAGATTGGTTGAAAACATGATCGCAATGTGGTTCATGCCTTGTGATCAGTTCTATTCATCTGTTAGTAAAAAAAATTCATATTAGATATTTCCTTATTAACTTTTTACCAGTATGCTACCATAAGTTAATCATGCAAGTTTTAGTTTCAAATTGGTCACTTCCTTCTTTTCTTTGTAAAGTCAACAAGTCAGTGTTACTCATCAAGCGGAATGTTATTCCTTGGATCAATGTGATTTTCCCAATATTATGTCCTGTATGGTTTATTTCAATGACAAGAAAAACTCTACAGATTAGTATGATAAGGAAGATGTTGATCAAAACTTAATCTTGCATTATTAATTATATTCATATTGCTTTTAAGCAAATATGTTATAAGCCTGTAGTTACTTTTTGATCTTCTCTTTTCCCTTTTCCATTTTCCTTTTGTTCTTTCTTTGTCCCGCGTTTGCGTGATATTTTTTAAAGATGGCCCTTCATTAGAGCCCTGTAGGTCGCCCACTGTATTTCTTTCTTAGGATCATGTTTCCTCAGCTTATGCCTGAAGCCATTTCCTTCCGTCAATCAATTCTCAGTTCATTAAGAGGCAAAGGATGGGAGTTACCCTTTACTTTCATCCTAAGGGTCGTAATCTTTTATGGATGTATGTTACAGTTGCTTGATATATTATCCTCATTAAGATTGTGATTTGTTTTAAGGTTTGCTTTTTGACTGTCAGTCAAGCTGTATGGAAGAGAATGATTAGCGTTCCGTGGTTAAGATAAACTAGGCCACTAATTTTTCTGCGAATCAGTTTCATATTAATGGAAGAGAATTATTTGGGTCATAGCTAAGGTAGCCACCTGACTGCTGAATGAAAGAAAATGTTTCGTACAAAATGCTGCACCAAAGAACTGACAAATTTTTGTAGATTCATGTTCCTAAAGTTCAAGCATCTATAGGTAGCTATAGTCTTAAAGCTTATACAGCTAATTATATTGTATTTTTTGTTAAGAGGGCCTCAAGACATGCACGTGAGGTTGCATTAGAAATGCACGGGTAAAATTGGAAATTTGAGGGATGGCTACTGTGGGAGACTTGTATTTTGCGTTAAATTCATTTCTTGCTTTTAACTTCATATTCCTAGTCTTTGGACGTTTACGTAGCATTATACCATCAAGAACATGCTTAATGCACAAGATGCAAGTAATTACCTGGTGCTAGCATAGCTGTACATTTGCTACATTGATGAATTTTAACACAACCTCCCATGTGATTTCTCCCATTTCTACCTCCTACGTTGAGAATCTAAGCCCTCTCCCCACATCTCTATAAATAATATACACATTCTTGCACATATTTCATCATCCAAAGCCTTCCATCTTTCTAAACAACAGTAGTCGCTCTCAATTAAGCTCAAGCTTCATTTTTCTTGTGTCACGTTATATTCGTAGAGGCAGTTAGCATGGCTAGAAGCAAAAGGTCTCTTGCTTCAACTCTGCTCGCAGCCTCCATCTTCATCTTGCTCGTTGGAGCCTCGTTTGCCAAGGAGGAGGGGAATGGGAAAGGTAATGGGGATGGGAATGATAAAGGGGATGGGAATGATAATGGGAATGATAATGGGAATGGGAGTGGTAATGATATAGGAAATGGTAATGGGAACGGGAACGGTAATGGTAATGGTAACGGGAATGGAAATAGGAATGATAAAGGGAACGGGAACGGTAACAGTAATGGTAACGGAAATGGGAATGGGAATGGAAATGGGAAGGGAAATGGCGATAACAAAGGGAAGGGGAATGACAAAGATAAGGGGAAACACGATGCAGCATCGACGAATTATGTGATATTGGATCCAAACCCTGTGACCGGGTCTGAGAGGTTCTTTTGCTTGGCGAGAGGGAGTTGCCACGGTAAGACTCTTGAGTGCCCAGCAGAGTGCGCCTTAAGAAAGCCTAAGAGGAACAAGAAGAACAAGGGTTGCTTTGCTGACTGCAGCAGTCGTTGTGAAACTACTTGCAAATGTAAGTTAAACCTATCTTCTCCTTTATTTATTGTCCTGCTGTTTGCAATGAACAAATAGTTGCGAAGTGTAACATACTTAAAATTATTTGTTGGATTCATATCTAATAAGCATTGTTGAAATTTCTATTGTAAGTAATATCTCTCTTCTTCTCTTTAGCTTCTGTCCTTTTGTTTTCTATAACGAAACAAACAGTTGCAACTGTAAGGAGTGACATACTGAAAATTTCCTCTCTGTTGCAGTTCGCAGGGCAAATTGCAATGGGTTCGGTTCTATCTGCTACGACCCCCGTTTCATCGGTGGCGACGGCACTATGTTCTACTTCCACGGCGCAAGGGGTGGGGACTTTGCCCTTGTATCTGACGATGACCTCCACATCAACGCCCACTTCATTGGAACCCGCCCTCAAGGCCGCACCCGCGACTTCACTTGGGTGCAAGCCCTCGCCGTCATGTTCGAGTCCCACACCCTCGTTGTTGCCGCCAAAAGGGTCGCCATCTGGGACGACAACGTTGATGCCCTAATTCTCCGTTATGACGGCGAAGACCTCGCTGTCGCCACTGATGGTGAAGCAGAGTGGAGGACGGAAACCAACGAGAGAGTGGTGGTAATTGAGAGGACCGACGATTTCAACAGCGTGAAAGTGACTATATCGGGTTTGCTCGAATTGGATGTTAAGGTTACGCCGATAGGAGACAAAGAGAACAGAACACACGGGTATAACTTGCCTGATGGCGACGCATTCGCTCACTTGGAGACACAGTTCAAGTTCACGAAATTAAGCGACGAAGTTGAGGGAGTTCTTGGTCAAACTTATCGACCGGGATATGTTAGTCCGGTGAAGAAGGGCGTGCCGATGCCGATGATGGGAGGAGAAGATCGGTATCGGACGCCGGCGTTTCTTTCGGCTAGCTGTGTTTCTTGCAGGTTTAAGGGTGATGGGGTCAGGATGGTTGATGAAGGTGTGAGTTTGGATGCGGTTCAGTAGGGAGAGAAAAGATTGCAACTGAACATATCTTGATGGATGCTAAGATATAAGCGTGTGATAATAAAGGTGATATTGTGAATTTGTTATTGTTTCTGGCGTGTTTTCTATGTAATAAAGTAAACAAAGAAAGGAAATTTTATGTTTTAAGAAAAGTTGTTTGATAGATTATGGGGAATTTTTTTCTTTTTGGTATGGGTTATTTATAGATGATTGCTAGGGTAAGGCTTCATTGTAAGCACCGTATTCAGTTATTGAGGTTGGAGGAAACGATAATTTTGCTTTCTTGCGTAGGAGGGTTAAGAGATGGTAATGAGTGCTTGAGATAATGAGAGAGCTACACTAAGAGTAGAGTGCGTTGTCTTCTAGTTCTATTGTGCTCATAGCAAAAAAAATTTATTGTACCTTTAGTGGTCTCTGAGTGGGATTTCGTTTCACTGCTTGGTGTTGATGTCAAAAAGTTGATATGTGATTTATGTGAGGTAAGGATGGGCTTGGGTCCCTTAAGCTCCTTTGATGGCTGATCGTTCTTGTTGGAAATTTTGAGC